GTCATGGTTAACCCTCAGTATATCGCATTTAGATCATGACTGCTACTTTTTCTTATTTTTCATCTCCTACCACATGTTTGCAAATATCCTTCATTTTTTTAGTAGAAGTGTCCTGATTACCAAGAAACTCGGAGACTGTGAAAGATGTGGAATCATATATGGGTGTATAGGAAACGTTTTACACCTCCTTGGAAACTACGATGAAGCGATTGTCTTCCACTACTGGGTAAGAAAATTTAAGTGAATAGATAGACAAACCTCTAAAAACACTCCGTACACTCACCTCCAAAAACGGTCTTTCCCACATGCGAGGTGAGTGGGTTTATGGCTGCAGTAGCATGCCACTTTCCCCTCGAAATGGCCAAGAAGGGGAGAATTTTGAATGCTACACTAATCATAAGAGTCCTTGTTACAGCGACTGAAAGCTGCTCGTCGATTTAGTGACGCTAAAGGAGAGTATCGTGCGCTGCAGAACATTGGCAACGAATATGCTAGTTTGTCACAGTATGACAAAGCAATTAAGCTGTACAAGTGGGTAATTACCTATCCATTAACTGGTTTTTGAATTCGGAAAAGCTGCTTAACAAAGCTGTTAAGCTGTAAATCACTGCCCAAAGATGTCGTAAGAATGCTGAGTTGAGGGAAAAGACTGAACCTCCTGAAGGACTGAAACCTGAACCTCACCTCGGTTGCGTAACGCATAGCGACTTCCCTTGACAACTCGAGTGAGCGCAAGTCCAAAATTGCACCTCTGTCCTTCTAAGGCACATACCACCTCAATATCTCACCCCGTGTACCTCTCCAACTTGCAGGATGCGAGTTTTGGTGGCGCGCCATGGATACAGTGTCTTTTCTTCCTCCTCCCATTACCATCACCCTGTAAGTACAACTCTCTCGACGGCTATCTTTCAGTGAAGCGAAACTAGTGGCAATTCATATGAATGACGTCCAACGAGAAGAACGATGTAAGCAGTTCATCAGACATATTTCCGAAATTGCTTCCGAACAGGAAATAATTGATTGATTTATAAATAGAAAATTCTCCGCGATAAGAAAGAAACATTGTAAATTGACTGTTGTCTTATTCGTATTACAATAAAGTGTGGTTAGAACAGTCATTGTGCTTCTTAGTTTGCTTCTACCGAGACGTGCTTTCTGAAATGTGCACTGGTTTTGTGTTCAACCCTCTCAAATCGGATGGACCATTTAGAGGGACGCTGAGCTAACGAACGCGTTAGGGTGAAGTCAAATCCAGCGAATTTATGGAAATAAGTGGCAGGTCACTGAAATTCCACGATATTTGGGTTGATCTTGCCACTTCATAACCAGTAAGTGCGAGAGACCACGCACACCCATTTCCCAAGCATTCCATGATTTTAGATCACGTAGATGGCTATTGATTCATGACGATTCAGCAACTGAATCGATACCATATTGGGCCAAATGGATCCAATCGCTTCATGTAAGAAGAACGATCTCCAGCAAAGCAACAATATACAATGAAGAGAAGACAGTGGCGTAAGCGGTGGAACGTACCACTCCCTTGGTCACTACTCATTGCTGCAGAGGCATCTGAACGCGCATCTAAACAAAAACATGCTTTGTGTGGGACTGTCTTTATCAAGCTGTGAGCCTTCTCTTGGAACTGTCCAAGCTAGCCATGCGTAGAAGCAGATCGTTTGGCTGTTTGTTTACTGTTGCTTGAGTTATTGGCAGTGATCTGTGTTGTTGTTTTGTCTTGGTCTACGAAAGCACGGGTAAGTTATGATTACGCGTAGTCCATGCAGTTAATTTGGAGACACCGTACGCTGTTGCAAGTCATGGTAAGTAGGATTCAGAAGTGACTTTGCTGCTGCTGCTAACTGACGTACGGTAAAGAAGAAAGCAGAAGGATTCGCCGGAAACACCGAAAGACACGTATCGTTTGGACTAGCCCACATATCAAATTCTATTTCGGAACGTGTCATGGAAGGCACACTCAGCGACGCAGTCAGCAACAGAGAAACGCTTCGTGGAAAAGGGCTGTGATGGAAAGACAACGGAAAACCTACTGTAAGTAGGGTCGTATTCGGGTTCACGATGGTTTCTTCTGTCTTTTATCAACAGGCAGCTCATACACTTTTCTTTAAAAAACGATAATGACTCATGCAATAATGCAGGAGATGTCATGGGAAGGTAGGCGTGGTCCGCGCGGTGAACAGCCCTGTGCCAGTCTTTACTGCGTTCGACAAGTTGTAAGCGTTCTAGCAGTGTCTGCTGCAAAATTGTACCGTCGTATCTCCTTTTCAGTGACTCCGCCTCCAGACCCGCCTTCGAAGCCTGGCTTCGTCAGCAAATAGGCGTCGCGAACAGGTAGCACGGAATGGACTGCCGCATTGTCTCTTGTGGTAGGGTCCAATTTTAGGAGTCGGCAAACTGAAGTCGCCCCAGCAAGCAATTTTTTTGGCATTTCACCCGTGCGATTGTTTGAGGCATAAGGGGTCATATTAAAGGTGTTTTCGCCGTGCTCTTTGGCATCTTTCTCCTCACGAACGAGTCACCCGGCAACTTTCCCTCTACATTTCGCCACCAACACCAACGTCTCTATATCGCCCGACCATGCCTGTTGGCTACCCTTCGAACTTCCTGCGCAGTAATTACATGTAGATGACCCTCAAGAATCACAATCGTTATTAATTACTGTTCGTCGTTCATTCACTCCTACAAAGAACACCAGTTACAGAAGGGGGGTGTGGGCCTGTCGCTGCAGTGGGTGCCGACTTCACCAGAAAATTAAGCGTCAAGATCGCATTACCTGTGTTACAGTCTTGCCTCGCGAATACTTGGACTGTGTGTCAGATAGGGGCTCTGTTCAGCACGGCGTTCAAATCGCTTTTCACAAGTTGTTGAAGTGGGCTAGCGACAACGATTGGCGGAAAATGGGCTGACGGCTAGCGACAACGATTGGCGGAAAATGGGCTGACGCCGACGGGACCCAGCCCTCCTTGCACGCCCAACGTCTGAACCGAAAACGGCTAGAGATCGTGAGAAAGCATAAGATCGACACCAAACATTGCAACTAGAGACACGGTGAAGACCACTTTTCGAATGAGGGTCCGTAACAATCTACCTCAACTGCAATAAGCCTTTTGAAAACCACACTTGTAAAAAATCTTATCGAACTTCATTATGACTAGCAACGAAGACAAAAAAAATCAAAAACAATGGTAAAGCTCTCAATGTATCGCAAGGAAAAGTGAAAATCGTAAATCTCGTTAAGAAAACCCTACAACATCAATGAACTGACATATTCCCGAATTATGTTATGTATTTCGAAATGGTGCAACGAAAATTGAAAAATAAAAGAACTATAACTGCAGGAAATGTCAGCGCTGTTCGCTTTTGGGCTGGGAGGGGCGAGACAGGAGGTATCTCTCTACCTCACTAGTTTCTTTTACTGGTTGCTCTTAACTTACACCTCTCGACCTGCTGATTTTTGTTAAGCTCGTGGTATTGAATAGCTTCACAAGAGCCTACAGGTCTCCAAGGAGGCCTCAACATTGTTTGATGAGATCCAGAAAAATGCCCCTACCAAGCCGAAGCGCCGAAAAGTCTTTTGAAGGTACTCTACTTACTCAACAAATCCGCATTCTGAAAGAGTTCCATCAAAAGCAGTCTATTCGACTTGCTGCAACTATCAAGGAAAACAAAATCTTAGGCGTACATCCCGAGTAAAGAAGTGGGCACTGAAGACGCGCTAAACGTGTCAGTATAGTTTTTGCTAGCCTATTCAGCTCCGAATGGTTTCTCTATTCTGCCACCATAGTGTCGTTTCCTGTCCTGATAGTTGCGGTAGTGACATACACAATCAACGACTTGATGTATAGGGCGCCAACAATGATGGAGAAAAGGCTGATATGGCCCGCCTTACCGAAGAACGACAAGCATTTCTCGAGCAGTGGCATCTTGTCCCTGAAATATGAAACATCACTTTCCATTCGGCTAACAGGTGAAAGACCAATGCATTGAATCTTTTGGCGATATGCCAGCACGAACTACCCTTCTAGAGCCTCAAAGGCATGTGGCAGGATAAATCCCAAGACGTGTAGGATTAATACGCCTAGCAGGACAGAATTCGGCGCCCCTGAGCAGGTGCTGCGTAGCGCCTTTCCCAAGGAAGGTACCCTTATAGCGCCCTATCATGCTGCAAGTAACGACCGCGCCCGCCCGCCTCTCAATGTCCGAGCGATGCTGATGCTCGTATCGCTTTAATTGCGAAGTACAATATGAAGCGAAGGAGATTGATATGAAGCGGCTGCGGTGCTGCATGGA